AAGTACAAAAGAGGAGCAATTGGGTATTTTCCATTTATACAAATGATGCCACTGGAGGAGTCGTGGAGCTTGATTATTCGTGCACATTGCCCCATCACAGTCATAATATTCAATTATACAATTCATACTGTGCAAGTAAAAACAAAATACTTCATATAGTTGAACAAAAGTAGCAGAACATGGAAATAAGCATCAGTTTAGGCAGTATTAACTGGAAAACAGGACAAGGAGTTGGTTATGTATCTCTTTTTAAAAAAACTCATACTTTAACATTCAGAATTAACTTGGCAACGCTGAGTTAACAAACAAATTGTGGTTGGCTCCCCCACATTCTGCACTGTGAATGGCAGACACAACCACGACAAGGTCTGTAGATTTCTCAGGAACCCATCCAGATATTAGTGACCACCCTGTGTCACAAAATCTCATTCAAATTTTGTTTCCTTCACAAGGGAGTCCAAATCTTCACTCTTCAAGATCCAGCCTCGGAAGCAAATACTTTTTGTGAACTTCCTTCATCCCACACTCAGCTGCACTGGGCTTCTGTCTTTTAACCCCTTTTCAAAAGGTTTGGAGCCATACTCTCTGGGACCGAACTACCTACGGACTGCTAATGACGGTACTTGTGTTGCTTGGAGCCATTTCTTTGCTTCAACACTCCCAGTTCGAAAACTACAACTAACCACTTCCCCCAGCAAACAGAAATTTAAACCAGAGAATCTCCTTAAGCTCTCCCCAGGACCATAATGATGTAACCTGTTCTGGGCTATAGTCACACTGATCTCTGAGTATCCTTCCTTTACAATTTCTTCTTGGATCAGATTTCAGTAAAACTTTTATTATAATTTAGCTCTAAATTACAGATAAAAACATCTCCCTCAACTGTATTTCTTTGCAAGCAGCTTCACCACTACAGCTCTGCCTCTCCAGCCAAGCAATTCTACCTGCTTTCATGATCATACATTTCGAGATGTTAACCTCTTAAAGAAACATTGCCCTAACCTTTCAGGTGTAATGGAATTGAAGATGCTTTTTGTTTTACATTTATCCATTTTGTATACATAAACCTAACTCCAAAGAATAAAAGCTGTATAGTAAAACACATGAACCATTAGCTACATACTGACTGCACCCTGAAGGAAAACAGTCACTCGACCTGAAACGTTAACTCTGATTTCTTTCCACAGATACTGCCAGACCTGCTGAGCTTTACCAGCAGTTTCTATTTTGTCTCAAAATCATTTTAAATCATTTTGTTAAGTATGACATTGCTTCCCACATCAGGTACTCATTCTATTCCCTGAAAATCCAGCTCATTTACTTTTGAAGTATATTGTCACGTTGACCCTCATCTGATTCCAGACTGAGAGACAAGCCACATTAACTACCTGCAAACCAATCCTAAGACTCAGTTGAAACAGTGAAGTCTCTGGTAACACGGATGCCAGAATAATCTTTTTATTTTATTTATTAATTCATGGGATGAGGGCACTGTTGGCTAGGGTAGCATTTATTGCCCATCTCTAATTGCCCAGAGGGCAGTTAAGAGTCAACCACATTGCTGTGGGTCTGGAGTCACATGTAGGCCAGACCAGGTCAGGATGGCAGTTTCCCTCCCGAAAGGACATTAGTGAACCAGATGGGTTTTTGCAACAATTGACAATGGATTTATGGTCATTATTAGACTCTTAATTCCAGACATTTTAGAAAAAAATTGAACATTATCTGGGTCTCTGGATTCATAGTCTAACAATAAAACCACTCGGCCATCAGGTCCCTTGGTAGCAGGCGGATGGGAAACCCATCAGTTACCAAAGTGTGACAATCCCCAGCCTATCAGTGGTTTACATGGAGGGAAACCACCTCCTCACTGTGAATCTGATCAAACACATATTACATTACTTAAAAGCTCCAAAAACATATTACATTACTTAAAAGCTCCAAACACATATTACATTACTTAAAAGCTCAGACAATCAGACAGTGTTTTGTAAAATGGGATGATTCTTGGTCCCTTTTTTCCTGTTAAACTGTAAAATATTTTGTAGAAACCGTCAGGTCAGAAACTTTTCACAGAAACAATGCTAAACTGGGCAGATTCTCAGCCATGTGTTACAGTCTGTTGTACTGAAGAAAGGATACAGTTTCTCTGTGAATGCACATCCAGTGAAAGTGTACAGGTAAATCTTTGTATCTGCACTGTAAATTGAAACAGTCCCAGACTCATAACTGAGATAAACACCAATTTTGACGGGAGTCTCACCAGCTTGGATATCGATTGTATTTTCAGAGTTTGCCTGAAATTTATCCCCAGCCCTACCAATCGTCCACAGCCCATTCTCTGGTTTCAATTGGATTTCTTTCTTCCTCTCTACAGACAGTGTGGCTACTCCCATAGTCCACTGCTGATTCCCCACCACCACCACCTCCCAGTAGTGTGAGCCGTAAGTAAATTCCTCTGATCCCAGCACTGATTCTGAAACTGTAAACCTCTCTTCATTGTCGTCGACACTCAATGCTGTCTGGGTCAATCTCACGTTCTTCCGATCTTTAGATACCACAAGCTTTGGGTTTGCTGTTTCTGTATCCAGATTTACAGAGACTGGAAATACAAAGGGAAAATTCAGTGAGGCTCAGTTAAATCAATCAACAATAATGACTGAAATCCAAAATGAAGCTAAGGTTATTGGAACAAAAATCACGTTCAGGAGAAGAAAATCTTGCAATCTGTATCACTCCTGGCTGATACATAGATGCCTGAAAGCACTTCACAGAGAGGAAGCAAACAGGGAAAAACAGGATTTCAACAGGACGTCTTTTAAAGGGATAGCAGAAGTACAGAAACAGATTTGAGGAGAGATTGCCACAGGGAAGGTTGTGATGGATAAAGGCTGCCTCTAAAATTTAATTTGAGAGGCCTGGAGAAAGCAAAGTTCAAATTGATGAAAATTAGAGTTTTAGTGGCAGTGGAGTTATAGAAATATAAAATGGTCAGTTCTGGTAAAACTAATAGAATGCAAAATGTTTTGATGAAAAGTCACTGTGCTAGAGCCTCAAGCTTTATCTTCCCTTTACCACAGATGTTAACTCATCTGCAAAGTATTTTCAAATGTTTTTGCCTCATTTTGTTGTTAGAAAAAAATTGATCTTGAAATCCAAACATCTTTGAGGTACAACGGTCTGTGAGCAGTAGAATCACACACCCTCACTTTTTAATCTCATGACCTTACCATCAAGACAGAAGACCAGCCCTGATTCAGCTTCCAATTCCACCAAATACAGCACGATCAGTCTAATCTCGAAGCTCTGCAGTGAGTGAAGATATTTTTGACTGCGCTAACAAGGGGGAAGAATTTAGCAATAGCCTGCTCACTGATGCTCAGTTTCAGTCTGTTCGGATGGCTCAGCTCCAGACTTTAATGCAGGTTTTCTCCAAACATGGACAAAAAGCTGAAATGCAGAGGCAAGGTGAGTGCAACTGTACCTGAGATCAAGGGTGTATTTGACAAAGTGTGGCACCAACGAATCCTTGTAAAATGGAAGCCATTTCGAATCAAAAGGGCAGGATTGTTCATCGTTTGGAGTCATTTCTAGTCCAAAGGAAGATGGTTGTGGTTGCTGGATATCAATAATCTCAGCAAGAGACATCACTACAGCAGCTCCTCAGGGAAGATACTTCCTAATCAATCTGCTCAGAGATGTGATGAAACACCTCTTCCTCGGCCCAACCAACTTTAGCTGCATGGGGTACAACATTCAGCACCATTCACCACTCCTCAGATACTGAAGCAGTCTGTATCCATATGCAACCGACCTGGACAACATCCAGGCTTGAACGAACAAGTTATTTTCATGATATAGAAGTATCAAGCAATTGCCGACATATTTCCTCTTGACATTCAACAGCATTGCCATTACTGAAAAACCATCAGCTTTATGCAGGTGACCACTAGCCACAAATGGACCAGTCAAATAAATACTGTAGCTACAACTCCAGGTCAAAGGTTAGTAATCCTGAGGTCAGTATCTCATGTCCTGACACTCCAAATCATCGATGAAGAAGCATTCAGGAGTCTGATGGATACTCAAGAAGCTCAATATCATCTGGGATAGATTCGATAGAAATAGGAGGAACTGTGTCTTCAATCAGGTAGCCCTTGCCAGCCAGTATTCATCTTGAAGACACAAGTGGGGCCTGAGAAGGTCAGGAGTGCCTGAGAGTGCAGGTATTGTGACAAAGCTCCTTACTGAGACCTGAAGAAACTTTTACCAATAGTTTCAGAACAGCTGTACATTGAGTGAAAGCCTTTCCTGTTGGGTAAGACCAACGTGCAATCAAGGATCTCCGACACATAGGAGAATCCAGCAATGAACCCGATTCCTATAAACCTCTCACATTGATCATTCAGGTTGGAAATCCATAGGTACTGGCTGGCCCTCTTCAACATAGCATTGGTGTTCTTCTTAACTCAGTGAGGAGCCACAGAATGGGAGAGTCCAGAGACACCTGAAAAATCCATGGCATGATCCTGAACTGTGGAAATTGAGTACCATTCTCTTCCACCCTCTTCCATTGGGCAGAAGATACAACACTTTGAAACCACATAATGAACAGACCTATCATATATTCGAGTTGATCTTTCTCTGCAGCTGTAACATTGTATTCGTCATTTTGTTCTATTCTCCTGATGTACTTAGGTACGTTATAATTTGTCTGGATAGCTTGCAAAGCAATACTTTGCACTGTATCTCAGTACCTGTGACAATAATAAATCAAATCAAATCATTGATACTGGGATCCCACCACTTCCCATTGAGATCGATTCCTCATTCATCATGGTGCATGGCACAGTGACCGCCTTCCTACAGAGACACAGACTTTGAAACCTTTACTGCTCTGACATTTTCAGGTCACTGGGCCTGTGACGATAAGCCCCCTCTGGTTCACACTGCTGTCTGCATACTGGTCGCAGTATGTACCATACACAAGGTACACTGCATGCACTCACTCAGCTTTCTCCTACACCAGCTTATAAGAGTCACTATGGCACAGACAGTGGTGATTTAGCCTTCATGTCGATCCCAGCTCTCTACAAAACAATTCAGTCAGTTCTATTCCCCCATTTTAATCCCCAATCCTTGCAGCTTTACTCGCATTATGTGTCCATTCAATTTCCTGATAAACCTCTGACCCCCACCACCTTGGAAGACAATGGAAGCAGATGCATGGGATCATCACCACCCAACAGCTACAAGGCCCCTCCTCACACTCACACACCATCCTCAATTGGAACTATACTGCTGTTCCTTCACTATTGTTGGCTTAAAATTCTGGAAATCCATCCCTGACAGCTTTGTGGGTGCATCAACACCATGTGATCTCCACTTGTTATAGGAGGCTGCTCAACAGTACGTCCTCAAGGGCAATAAAGGATGGAAAATAAATGTACACATTCCAAAAATAAATTAAAATGCAGCTAAAGATGATTGGACCTTGGACCATATCCCAAGGAACTGGTGCAATGTCCTCAGGCTGAATTAGATCAGGAACAGACCAGGAGTCACAGGATGGAAAGGATGAAGGTGGCAGACGCTGAACTATATTAATTATACCCATTAAAAATAAAGAAATCTTCAAACTTCAGAGCTTGTTTTCTGAGTTCACATTGCTGGCCTGTGAGTCGCCCAATTGTCATGCAGATTGGAAACTGCATCCATGCTG